GTGCTGAGTATCCACTGCAGTTGAAACGGCTATGGTTGTGGGCTAAGGAAGCATTGTCTGATGATAGAGCACATACTTTTGTCCTTAATAAAGATGCCTTTGGGGTGGAAAAGAAGTTATCAGTTTTTCTGAGTGATATACATGCTCTGTGCGCTCGTGGCGAGATGGCTGGAAGCATAATTACATTATACATCCAGTAAGAATGTCATCACACAAACATTTTATTTTCATTGTTAAAAGCCTTTTGATATAAAATTCTTATGGACAAGTCACATAACTATCATGTAATTACCCTTGCAGCTGCCTGTATGAGCTTGTGAAAAAAAACAAAATGCTTCAGATGATCTCTTTCGTGGATCCCGGCATGGTAGGGACGCTTGCATGTGGGAACATAGGGCAGAGGTCACGCAAGCTTGCTGATCGCTTTAAGGGGGCCTGTGATGGACAACACTTTCTAATACCGTTCAATGACGTGTAAGTATGTTTAAGTTGTTCATGTCAAGAACTGATGTTCTGAATTGTTTCTTCCTTGTGAACTTCGTATTCAATTTGCATTTGTAATGCTTTGTTAACACACTTATGTAAATGCGAATTTCTTTAAGTTCGTGAGAATGTCGTAATTCATATATGTTTTTATTTGTAGGAATCATTGGGCTTTGACTGTTGTCAAACCTAATGAAGAGGTAGTGTACTACATGGACCCCCTTAAACGGCGTATATATAGTCAGGAGTGGACTGAAGTGGTTGATAAGTAAGTAGTGACTCAATGAACAAAAATCTTTGGTATTTGCTATCACTCTTGATTTTAACATTTCTCTATTTATCTTTTTTGGTTTCCTTATAGTGCTATAGTTTTTTACAAGAATACCATGAACACACCTATGTTGAAGAAGAAAGTGTCCTGGGAGAACATGGCGGTATTATATGATTCTTATTATTTGGTATGTATTGCAGGTTGAATGAGAACCGTACTTTATATTTTTGTTTTTTAGGGCATCCCGATGCAAAAAGGGAGTGTAGACTGTGGCTTGTTTGTAATGCGATACATGAAAGAGATCTGTCAGGATAAGGAGGTTTAATTTGCTTCAAAGGTAATATTGTTGTCTTAAATGTAGTTTTTCTTGTTTCGGATGGTTCACACTTATTGTGTCTTTCTCTTATTCTGGGGATATTTACTGTATTGCATGTTATCATACCATTACCGAATTGCAAAGTTTGAATTGCATGTCGCTTTTATGTGTTCTCTATTAAGTGCTTCTTTGCATCAGTGTATCATTTAGGAGTGTGTTTTTTTTAGTTTGAATTTCTGGATAAATGCAATTTCTAATACATGCTCTTTACACAGATTTAATTTGAAGCTAATTTAAGATAGCGCTGTACAGAGTTTTTTTTATTTTGTGTACAGTTCTGGTGTTTTTAATCAGGAGAGACTTTAACATTAAGTAGAGCCTCTTATAGTTCACTAATAATGTGTACTACTCAATGCTAGTGAAGGTTTGAGTATTAATTATTGGCCAGTTCTTTAGTGTTAGTCATCACGGATAATGCCTTCATACAAATCAGTTCTTATGTGTTGCATCCTATATTTACTTCATCACTTCTATGATTGGCTTATTAGATATTTGGTTTTTTCCTACGATTTTCAGTGGGCGCGTCGGGGAAATCTGGAATACACCGAGGATGACATCAATCAAACAAAGGTTGAATTTGCGAAGTATTTTATGAGTCATAATGCCATTTGAATGGTTCTACCCCTGGACTT